GCAAGGACGCTACTAGGGGCTCCTGGGATCGCTGCTAGGAGCAAGGACGCTACTAGGGCTCCTGTAGGAGCAAGGACGCTACTAGGGGGTCCTGGCATCGCTGCTAGGAGCAAGGACGCTGCTAGGGGCTCCTCGCATCGCTACTAGGAGCAAGGACGCTGCTAGGAGCAAGGACGCTACTAGGGGCTCCTGGCACCGCGGGCTCCTGGCATCGCTGCTAGGAGGACGTTACTAGGGGCTCCTGGCATCGCTGCTAGGCAAGGATAGTACTAGGGGCTCCTGGCCTTACTACTAGGAGCAAGGACGCTACTAGGGGCCCCTGGCCTTACTACTAGGAGCAAGGACGCTACTAAAGGCTCCTGGCATCGCTGCTATGCTAGGCTAGGAGCAAGGACGCTACTAGGGGCTCCTGGCATCGCTGCTAGGCTCCTGGATGACAAAGGTGTGATCAACATTACTTGAGAAAGGTTTATGTCAATAGCAGTGGAGCGACAGGCATAGTATATGCGTGTACAGAACAGTACAGCATGACATGCCAATATTTGGCTCAAGACTCCCGTAGATTCAGCGGAAAAGAGGAGCGCGCTACCGCCATCTACAAGGGAAAAGGGTAGTCTACCTACACTTCACATTGGGCAGATTAATAACCCAAAATGAACAGAATAGATTTCCTGAGAGGTCAACCTACCCTGGTGTGAGGCTTTGGGTTTTGACCCACAGCAAAATCCGATTGTCCAAAACAGGAAAGGGAAGAAAACAACACCAATGAAACATATTTTCGCAGCAGTGTCATGTACAAACGATTAACCAACTAATCTGAAAGGTTTCCAAGCCGCAGGAAATCAGTTTGCATGCATTAAATGTCAGGCAGGGTGTTTTGAACACCACCCGGAACAAGCGAAATAGTTCAAGTGCATTGTGGTCACTGACTCGTCGTAACATTGATATGTCAGATTTTTCAATCACAGCTGCTGACCCTCGGGGATTTGACATATTTGCTTTGTTTTGATTCATTTGCTGGTCATCCAAGGTTTGCCTGCCACCCCGTGTCGAAGACTACATCGATAGAAGTTCAGCCTGAGTCCTACTTCAGAAAAAAAACATGTCTTTTAAACATCTCACAAACACATGCCCCTGAGAGTTCACCTGACCTTCATTGGAACAACATGACGTTGCCAGGTCCTATGTGATATATTGAGACACTTTGAATCGAGCAGCTGCAGCTGAGCACCACCTGGACATGTGATGGTCCATGCGATTGGCGATGGTCATGACATGTACACAATTGTACAGATACCACGACGATAAGACTGCATCACATGACAACCCCATATTTCCCCAATGATGGCATGTTGCAAAACGTGTGGTTTTTCCACACGCTTGCCCTATCCGGTGCGACGACGTGAGGTAAACCAGCTCGAAGAGCATGCATCCTCTCTGGCCCTGAAGGGATTGGCAAAACTGTGGCTGTTCCTTGGACATGGGAGCAGATGCAATAAGTGACTTGTGACTGTTCGCATATGTTCGACTTCGGTTGAACTGCTCTTCCCAGTGTTCGCATATGTTCGACAACGATTGTGGATTTAGCATGGTACGAGTAGTGTGCAATGGATGCAGAACACGTGTGGAATAACAATATGTTTTGCATCCATCGATGTCGCTGGATGCGACATCGATGGATGCAACCGCACTGTCAGGCCATTGAACTTGCCCACTTTGCTTCTTCACCTGGTCGCCTATTTTCAAGGACGGAAACCATTAATGCCCAAAACCAATTCACTGAAATGCCGATGGTTTTATCAAATTATATATATATAATGATGCATGCACAAGAAACAAACATCTTCATTCACATCTTTGCTTGAATTCCCTCCAGGAATGTCCTTTATGTACCAATTGATGGCAAACCAGACTTGGCGAATGTGGTTCAAGGCCCCGTGACCCGCCTGCTGATGGGTCCCGGGACCGGAGTCACCGCGAGCTCGCTGCGCATTTTAAGCGCTTTTGCTGCGCTTTTTCCTTTGATCTCTTGAGGAAAAGAGTTTCAAGGTGATTGACAAGTATCTTGACAAGTATATGAAAGTATGCGAATCAATTGGAAAGCGATGTTGAAGTCCTTCTGCAGACTCCAGAAATGACGTGCCTGTTTTCGTCCACACGGACGCCAGGAATTTCTCAAGCTCTTGCATCACGCCGACCACCACTGCTGACGACTACATCAAGAAGTCAGAAAGATGTTCTGTTGGCTCTACAGCAGATGGACCAAACAAGGCCGGCCTTGGGGGGGGGCGTGAAATGGACGAGAAAAGGGGAAAAGGGGTGAAGAACCCCGGGGTTTTTCTCCGGGCAGAAAGAGCCGGTTCCGGATCCCGGCGGCCCGAATGAGGAAGATCCCACGAACGAGTTAGGAGACCAAATCTGGCAGAACTCAGACTGGCCAGACGCCTGGCCTTGCTGGCAGGAATAGATACCTTTTGCTTCTTGACGATCGCTCGGGAGCAGTGCGTGCCAGCCCACAAGTACGAAGCCTTCTGAATCTCGACAGAGTACGAAGCCTTGGAATTTCTGGGTGTGTACAATCAGGTAATTACAAACGTGATCAAACGTGTAAAGTATCGGCAAATCAGTGCCTATGAGGCACATCGAAATCACTGTTATTTTTTCATTTTGCTCTCATCATCTCATCTGATCTCATCTGCTTAGTTCAGACAAGAACAGCGGAGTAGGTTGGAGAGATTTGGAGAGTAATTAGGTTGCTTCCTTCATTGCTACAACAAATGCTTTGGTCGACACCGTTGTTCATGGAGCCCAGGAGCAATATGCTGGAGACAGACTCTTGGCTGAACTCAGCTCTTTTGCTCAAAAATTGGGAGTCCCTCCGCTTCTGATCTCAATCGACGATTTCGTTTGGGGTTCCGTGGGTTTTTCCCTTCCGTAAGTGACTCCAAGTCATGCAACATCATGTAGCTATGCCAAGTAACTGCATTTTAGAGAACATGACGCAGATCGTTTGCGTTTGTGACTCAAACAGCATCGTTGACATCACGTAGTTGCGCTTCTTGCATTTCTGTTGCACGGTTTGCTTTGTCAGAAACAGTCCAAGGCAAGGAATTTGAGTTCCTTGGCCGCAGATCCACGGGAATTCCTTAAGTGCTTTCTCGGACACAGACAGACAGCAAGCCGAGTGTCGCCACCCCCCCCCCACTGTCATCGTCATCGGACCTGCAAACTAGACACGCCACGACCATCGGGGAAGCACCAACGGTCCCTGCGTTTCGAGGTCTAGTAGTTTGCTCCAGAGAGCAAGTGTACGAGTCCCTGGGACCTTGCAAGTGTGTCAACGTGCCATTGGGAGCATTGACAGATGCGCAGTGGTGGCCTCAGTTCATGGAAAATGGGCGGTCAAATCTGTTTTGACATAATATCTATAGAGTTCTATATATATATAGATTATATCCAAATAAATCTAACATAATTTATATGATCATATCTATTTGATTCTATGTGTTTTCTGTACATCTTCTTTGGCTCCTTTCGCTCGCGACCAGGTCTGCAGAGCTTTTTCTGAAGCGTATGCATCGCCCTCTTCTGCCCTGTGACCTTGACCCACGGGAGTCCGCCGTCGGGAACTTGATGAAGAACGACCTCGTCCTGCAGAAGTTGGCGGCGCACCCTTCGCTGCGGCAGATTGCGGGCAATCCAGGTGAGGGGCGCGGAAAACCAAACATCACAGATGTTGATCGATCACATGGTAGAATGACTCTGTTTGTGGACACTCGGTCACTTCTGTGGAAGGAAGATAGAAGAGATGTGAAGGCTCCGTTATTTATATAACATGCTAATTACGTACAAAAGTGATTCTGACATGTCATCGATGCGTGATGGCGTTTGTTTCTTCACTCCGACTCACTCCGACTCACTCCACCCCCTCCGACGTCGACTTCTTGTCAGGTCTAGTCAATGCGATGTGTCAACATGTGACGCCAAAGCTTCGGTCGCTCTGGGACTTGTGCTCGCCTCAATGGCGACGGCACGATCAAGTCGTCCGCACGAGGTCGTTTGATTCGGAGACACCGAACTCACACGGAAGTCTCTTTCGACGCATGTCCGAAGATGGGACAGAGTCATTGCAGCTCACGAGAAGGATGTCTATTGATGGGGTTCATACAGAACCGTTGGTGCGAATGATGTCATTTGATGGACCACCGCTAGCGCGGATGATGTCTGTAGATGAAACCCAGGCCACTGAGAACGGTATCGACCAAATCTAGGCGTCAGCACAAGGAGGTTTAGTCAAAAACCACTTGGAACTTGTATATTGACCTCATGGAACAATTTTCTCAGTGCTGTTTGACACAGAGCATCGAAACTTGCTTTTCAATTGCTGACACCTGTATCAATAATTCGAGTACTCTGGTGGCTTTTTGCCGGATTTAACTTGCATATCCGCTGGATGCATCGAAGGTGACAGTGATGACAACACAACCCCCCCAAAGTGATGCTTCTTAGTTCGGTGTTTTTCGATTTGGGTGTCACCAAGCAACTGCGGGCGAGGCATCACGCCCTGAAAACGCCCAGTCAGCGGGAAATTTTCTTTGCACCCGTTTTGGCGAAGGGAGATAGATCTCGATTGGTCCGATGGTCCTCAATTTGAGCGCTTCCCTACGACACCTGCACAGCGCATGTTACGTTCGGAGCCGAACCACTGTGGATTACGTGGTGACCGAACTTTTGTGATTGAGGTGTGAAGTTCTATTCTTGATTATTCACTTGAAAAATGCCATAGGCAGCGAAAGGCGCGACCCTCCCATTCATGTCGCGCTACAGCATTGTACAGTTGGTCACTGGTGAACTCGCAAGTTCCGCCTTGCGTGTGCCATCTCTTGTGCTTGAAAAAAGACACTGGCGATGGGGTGGTGCAACAGCAGGCAACGAGTTGTGCTGTTTGAGGCCGTTGCCTCATGTGCTCGTTGCCTGCAGTGGGTGTCTCGACAGCCCAGGTGCCACCGGAGCAACTGGTCTTTGTGCGTCGGGCTTCCAAGACAGACACCGTCTTCTTTTCTTCAAGAATGGTCGGGAACACACTGAGGATGGCCAGCAGAGGAGGAGGGGTAGGGCGACACTGGATGGATGATAGATGATGATAGGCTCCCATAGGCTCTCATAGGCCATCATAGGCCCCATGACCCCGCTCTCATAGGTCCATGGATGATAGGCAGATGCATCGAGACCGGAGTGCCGTCACTGGGATGCCGCGGTGAGGACGTCACTCAATTGGTGTCCAGCGGGGCGGCACCGAAAGCCAACACGAAGCGTCGACACCTCAAATGGACTGCTGGAGATAGTCGTGGGTGATCAATGGTGAGAAGCCAAGCATTTGCTACTCACTTGATCTCACCTTTTTGGTTGAACCATCCAGAATCCGTATGTTGTTAGGTTTGGAGCAGCTGGTGCCACCTGCTGATTGGCCAGGTAGGGTATTCATATTTGGAGTCCCAGACTGGCCGAAGTAACAGGCCGAACCGGTCACCAGGTGCTCAGTTCGTTCACTCTTGAAGAACCAGGGGGTCCAGAGGCTCCACAGAGGCTGCACAGAGGGGGTCCACTTCTCAGCTCGGTCGAGTTCGACAGGTGGTCCATCCCTGCCTGATTGGCCACTGGCTGAGCTTCCAACAAACCCTCCACAGAGCGAGTCCATAATATGATGTGAACACAACAGCAAGTGAAGCACAAAAATCAGAAAACATATGTATATAGGATTTATTAAATAAGAACATATCAGAAGCATTTGGACAGTGAATTGGAAGACAGCCACGCCTTGGATCGCCTTGGAAGCCACGCCTAGGGACAGAATCTGCCTGCTAGATATGAATGTGTGCCCCTTGGACATCCGAGAGAAACACAGAAACGAGGCTCTCTTTTTTCTCAGACCGGATGGATGCCCAAAGCACCAGTCATCAGCACCGACTAATCAGTCATTTGAGGTTTGACTTTTAACTATAGAATGCATCAGCATATAATCAAGCATCATCCATCATCAGCTCAGTCTAGAGCATCGAGACAGTCTCCTTTTTCGTTGTCTTCCGTCGAGGCCGAGGAGGCCCTGGAGCCCAACGACGTGGCCAAGTTCGATGCCTTCGTTCGGCCCCAGACGGACTCGTTGGCGGAGCGCACGACGGAGCAGAGCCCCAAGCGGGGGGGTCGAACGGAATCGAAGTGGAATCCGAAGGTAACAGGTAACAGTAGTAGTAGTAGTAGTAGTAGTAGTAGTAGTAGTAGTAGTAGTAGTAGGGAACCTTTCGGTTTTTCGGGGGATCGGAGACATGTTTTTCGTTGTAGCAGTTGCTTAGCTTTGTGGCTTCATTATAGCAGAGTAGATATCATTGGATTAAGGGATTTGATCAACTTAATAAAAAGAACAAAGCATGAAACAACTCATCAGCGTAGCAGCATCGGACTTGGATGATGAATTCTTGCTTTACAAACAAAGAAAAAACACATGCATGCATACACAAGTAAGCCACTCGAATCGCGACGTTTCGCTGTTGCTGTTGCGGAGGTCTTTGGAGGGATCTTGGGCAATGTGATTGAGAAGGAAGATGGATCTTATGGAAGCGATGATCGGACCTCTGAGATTCGTCGCTCGGATGCCTGCGATTTTGGTCAAAACGATGACCAGGCAGTAGCGACAGACCGTGGCATCTCAAAACCCGTATACAGAAAGTTCTGGGTCTAAGAATGTATCTATATTATATAGTATCAATGTTACACATGATACTGCAGATTTTGCAGAACTCTTCAAGACACCAACTCTATCTCATGCAGATCTTTTTTGGGGGAGGGTCCTTATCAAAAAATGCGATCTCAAGACTAAGAGATTCCTATCCTTCAGCTTCGTTTGGAGTGATTGCTTCAGGTGCCTCCTTCAAGCACCGCAGGCATTTGGGACCCTGGCAAATGACCACTGACTCCGCGATGCTCTACACCCAGAAGGCCGAACCAACGAACCCGGTCCCGGCTCCGGTCCCTCGCTCTGCGCTCCGTCGGCTCGTCGGTCGGGCAGGTGCTGGAAAGCGCCTGCCCCTTGGCGGAGATCCCCGGGATCGAGTCGCCCGAGTTCGAACGCTCACGACGGCGAGGAGGGGAGAGGATGTGGAGAGACGAGGGAGAGATGGGAGGATGGGGAGTGGAGTGTCGGTGTGTGGAGACGGAGGTGTCAGGATGTGGAGAAATGATATTGGAATGATGATCATGATAAACAAAACATAGATGAACAGCGCCATAAGCTCCCATGTAAAGGTGGTTGCGGAAGTAGCGTGCAAGGATGTGCGACAGCATGTTGTTAGTATGAAGGCTTAGGATAGAGGCTTTTGGCACAGATAGGTTGATCAAGGTTCATGTCAACTGTTTACCATAACACTGTTTGGGATTGATGTTTTGATATGTCCTCGCCCGGTGATATCGGGTGTTCATCATGATGTCAGGACCTGAGGAGGCGTCCGACTCGGTGTGTATGGAGGCCGTGGTTTCACAGCGTGTGCCCATGTGTGCCCAGATTCTTGCAGTGCTGATGAATGTGACATTGCGACACTGACAGTTTTTGGTTTTCTATGATTTGTGCATGTGTTTTGCACGATCAGCTGAATCAAGTCACAAAATCCATCAACACCTCTCCACATCCTCTCAAACACCTCTCAAATCCTGAACATTCGCGTCCCACGGCTCTGAGTTCAGAACTCCACGGCTTCGATGTCTACAGATGTACCACGGCACGGTCGACACGTGGCTCGATCCGCCAGGGATTCCGCTACATGGCTCGACGGGGTCCAAGTGGCAAGTGGGAACCCATCCTACCAGACGTCCCACACTTGGAGTCGAAAAAAAGCAGACGTCCCGGTCGGTCTACGGTTGGGGTGAGTGGGGGTCGGAGTCGGAGATGGGAGATGGGCCGGCTTTTGCCAGATTTTGGGGTCCACAATTGGTCCACACAAAATTTGATGGGTGATGCTGGTAAACAATGTGTGTTTTACTTGTTCAGCGGCCTTCTCTCACAAAATTTGATGTTTTTTCTTTTCATGCCAAGGGCATGAAGGAGCTTCTTCTTGCTGATGCAGATAATGACATTCTGAGCTCGCTCGCGTAAGCAAAAAGCCTTGGTGCCTCAGCGCCTTCCGCGTTCTTTTCCTCCTATGCTTATGCAGTGATCTTGTGTGCATGCACAAGAGAATTGAAAGTTGTTTCTTGAGCGTCATAGACTCATAGTGGGCGGGACATGGGAGCTGACCTGAAGCCAAGGCTCAAGGCTCAAGGCAAGGCTTAGCGGCTTAGCCCGAGATACCAGGCTGCAATCGCTCAAGCCGCTCAAGCAGGTCGCTCAAGATGCTGTGTTTGTCAGTGTGAGCTCGTGTTTGTCAGTGGTTGATTTCATGCAGAGGCTGTGAGGTCGATCTTCCCAATTGTATCTCAGATTCTTGCGGATCCCAAGTCTTGTATTGACTGGCGCTAGAACAAGCAGCAAAGATGCATCTCTTTCATTCTCTTTTGTGCAGATGTGGATGCCCAACCAACTGTGACAACCGATATTATGGCTCAAACTGCGCGGCCTGGACCAGGGCGTTCTGAACCGCCTTCAACGTGACTTGATTCGAATCTAAGGAAAATAACTTTGACATCAAAAGTACCATCAGTATACTGGCAGTCTTTTCTAAAATGTGCGTTACTTTAATCGTCTATTTGCAGTGAAAGGTGCTCACTACTTCGATCCTCTCTCAGATCCAAGGTTCTAAGTCAGTCTCCTGCCTTGCTTGGTGCAGTGTTCAGCTGAATCAAGTCTTTGGTGTGGAGCCAAGTTGGGGATCTGGTCCAGTGAACAGGTTCTGATACACTTCATGAGCATCTCGAGTCCTGAAGTAGGTAGTGCTGTGTAGCTGTGAGGCGAGGCTGAACACTTTCCTGCCTGCACGGTCCCATCTATTCCCTTAGAAGCAGAAACCCGATAGAGTGATGGAGTGATGGTGCAATCACTGCAAACACAAGCTAAAAGAGTGGCTTACCCAAAAATACTCACAGCAAATTTAGTTGCAGCAGTTTGCGGCTTTGGTGAAACATATTCTGGATTGGCATGTACCTCAGTCTTTCCCAAGTAGGCCTTCACTGTGCGCATACTCCAAAGATACAGTGCAGCGCTCGTGCTAACAAGTGGAAGGGAGTGAAGTTCAAGATCAGGTCCGGCACTATCTTCGATTGGGCCGCCCCTGAACACCTTGACTGTGGCAGCATATACGAAAGTAATGCCCTTCCTTCGTCTGGAATTCAGACTGAAGTTTCGCGCTAGATGGAGTGAGAATGAGTGAGAGACCACCATAGTTAGGTCAAGTCACGCTTTTCCAGCTCATGATGGCTCATGATGGCTCCCTCCCGGATTGTTCTATCCCTAGCGGTCCAGGCTGCGTAGATCGACCTCGTCGGTCCTGTGACCTGTGGGTGTTCCGGTGTTTTTTTTTGAAAGCGTGCGTCAACGTATTCTGAAAGCTCAAAAGCTTGCAAGTGCATACTTGAACCATGTTTAAAAACCATTTTAGATGCAAGCAGGCACTTATTGTGTGGAACCTCTAATTCATTCTAATTCATCGATCTCCATCGAAGCAAACCAGTCGCATGCACCCTCATTTGTGTTTCGTTTTCTTCCTTTGTATTCAGTGTTTCATGGGCGCTCACTGCGCAAGGTCTGTGAGGTTCATTGACCCGTGGTGCGGGTCTTTATGCGGGTCTGTGAGGACTCTCGTGAAGGGGTAGGTTTGCCAGAAAGATGAGTAAACATGGTAACATCATTTTTTCACCAAACCATTTTTGTAGAATCTGACAGTTTGGGATTCATTTTGGGTTTGAAATCACCTCAGAATGAGTATGTTGAAGACTCTCACTGTCTTAGCTGGGCTCCCTCTTCCGTCTCTTGCTTTGGTTGGCGGAAGGATGCTCCAAAGAAGGCCAGATGCATCTGCTCCGGACGCCCTCACAGCTGTTACAAAGTCACTGCAGAAGGTGGCTGTTTTCCTGCCCTATCCTAAGCTTTTGCAGCAGAGAAATCGAAGCCTCTAGATATGATGCGTTTGCAAAGCTGGTTTTGAGATGTTTTGAGCACACTTCTGTCTCATTCAGAAGTGAACCAAAGCGCTCCAAAGTGAACCAATTGGTGAGGCAAATGATGGTGCTTAGATGTGCCTTAGAGTCGCTCTTTTCCATTGCAACTGGCAGGTTGCTACTGGTCGCCTTGGTTTGTCCACGTCTTAGTGTTCACCCGTAGCAACCACCATCGATCCCCACGACCTGACGGGCGAGACCTCACGGGCGGTCGATCGCACGACCGAGGCGGGCACATTTTGCTCTTCCACTTGCGATCCGTCCTGGTGCCATTCGTGCCCCGGTATGAAAGACGTACGGCGGAAAGACTTATGGCGGAAAGACGTCGTATGACGACTGGAAGAAGTCGCTTTGTTAGGGGGTCGGTTCGTTTTACTTCTTCAAGATTACGTATGATAGCTGACACAGCAGACAGTTCAATCAAATTCGCTGCACTATGAAGGGCCTTCCCGACAACAAGGTTCTCTGACTTGACTGAGGTTCTCAGCGCGCTAGTGATTTGTGCAGTGGAGCCAACAGCAACTTGACTGGGATGACCAGATGACGGAGAAACCAGTCTCAGACAAGACTCCAGATTCGAGTAAGTTAATCAAAGAGCCATCATGTTCCTAAAATGAGTGTTTCCAAAGCATGAACTTGAAGGTGAATGGCCTTTACAATCTATTTTCAGGAAGAACACCACCATACAGGCTGGGCAGTTCGTTGCAAAAGAAGGCTTTTTTTGACATCCAAGCACTTCAAGGGTTCACTGGCTTCAATTAGAAGCCACCCTGGTGGCATCGCGCATCACGCTGTGACACCTGTTTTTTCACCGGCCTCAGGTGGTTTTGCTGCTGCTGCCATCGAAGGCGGAGAAAGGATGCCTACTTCGGTGAGGAGAGTGAAGATCCTGATCGAGATGCCTTGGAGCCCTTGAGTGGTTCCAGTGCAGCTCGGCTTTCGCTCGAACCGAGGGCCTCGAGGGCGGAAGCGGGCTCGGCTCGCTCCGCTCTTTCTCGTGGTGACGAGGATGGTTTCGAAAGCGTCGAAAAGGAAAGGGGTCTCTACTGTATACTACGGACGATTGAAGGGTGTTTCGAAGGGTCTTACTATACCGACCTTTATGGACGACACCGGCTCCACTGCGCAGCCTGTAGCCGAGGATGAGGATCCTTTGTGTGAAGGTGCTGCACGCTGCGCATCCGTGAGTATAGCGAGCCTTAGCTAAGATCTAAGATAAGGGATATATAGAATTCAGATAAGGGTCATCTTCAGATGATCCCCTGTACATCCCTTTACCATTGTTTTTACAATGTTTTAACAGGCAAATATCAAAGGTTCATCAATCGTTATGGTCGGTGATATTCATGTGCCTGGATTTCGTAGTAAACACGTGCGGGTAGCTGCGCAGCTACCCACATCATCAAAGTCTGAAACAATGGACTGTTCTAGTTCTATTCCCTTCAACCATCATCTAGAACCATGGATGTGATGTTTAAGTTCCTCCCAAAGGCCGTTTTGCCGGCAACAGTCAGTTGGTCATCAAGCCTTTGGTCCATTGGTGTTGATTTTGGTAACCGCGGAGGGGGATCGGTCGACCGAGCAAAACGGTTGAGATCAGTGGTGTCACTGTCCCACAATCTGATTTGAACATTCTTGTTAGACAAGACTCGTGCATACTTGTGCCCTTTTTGCATGGTCTACCATGCTCAACGCCATGGTTTGCTGAACTTATGCTCAGGATTTGTTTGATCCTCTTGGTCTGCACCTCAAGCAGCAGAATATCCTCTTTGCAGTCCTCTTTGCTCCTTCTGCTGCTGCTGCAGTGTTCAAGAACAGGGACTCTATCTTGCAGTAGTCTTCTACAGCAGCAGCTCTGAGGTTGTGACTTTATTGGCTGGCTCATTGTTGGCTGGCGCTTTGCACCTTCGCGAAAGCATCTGGGACCGAGCTTGCTTGGAATTGGATGCTAAACATTTGATGGTCGAAAACCGGAAACCTTTGGCTTCATTTTGCTGCACAACCTCAACTCTTCAGTTGACTATTGCTTCTTTTCTGGCTTCATGGGCACTCTAAACAGCTCTTCAGTCCATGAATTGCATGTACAATGCTTGTACCATCATGCCATAAACATGTTCTTCCAGCATTTTCTGGTTACTCGCTTTCTTTCACCCGAACATTTTCCAAGGTTGGTCCAGCTACTCCTCGGGGGCTGAAAATCTGGTTGCCATGCTGCAGAGCATCACTAGGACCAGTGAGACTTGTGAAACCGTGTGAAACCTAAGACGAAACGGCGAGGGTGAAACGCACTGGTTCAGCAGAGATCCACGTGTTCAGAAAGATGTTGCAAGTTGTGTAGTGGGTGAGGAGACTTTCCTTGCGCTTGCAACTGGGTCAACAGACCGATTCACATCTGAATGGGTTGCTGTTCTGCAGAGAACTTTACATGACACAAAGAACACAGGTTTCGGACTGGGCCAGAGTTTTGAGACTCTTTCGGACTGGGGTCTTCAGGTTCTATTCATATTTGCTTGACAAGGGCCAGGCATTGGTGTCCGCTGTGGTCGAGGAGATCATTTCGGATGTCTCCTCGACACTCGCTGTAAAGAATCCAATAACAATTTTTGAACAAGGGCTGCAACCTAATCATCATCGTCCACTGTTACTGGTATATAATAGGATAGACATGGATAGACCGATAGACTCAATATTGCTGTATAGGTCTTTGATTATCTCAGGTGTGTGGTCTCTTTGGTCATCATCCTTTTGTATGTGATCTTCGGACTTCTAAATCCACTGCCAATTGGTGGGAATGTGAGCAACCTTGTCGCTCATCTGCAATCTGCATAATGCTTTGAAACCTTTATTTTGCGAATCACTTTTGGATATGAGTTCGGTGGACCCCAGCACAGCAGTTGTCGGTGGACCTTGAGGTACGAAGCTATCTCTGGAAGAAGACTCTTGTCTCGCTCTTCTACGGCTTCTCAGTCCGGGCTGCCCGGGCGGAACGGGTGAACCGCTTCACCCGGTTCGGCCGGGTTCAGAACCGCGGGGAAGGAAGGAAGATGGAGATAAAAGCACGTGGGCTTCGGCTGAACCGCGTGGAAACTGAGGTCTCTGCCCTCTTTCTGTTGCTGAACAATGATTTGGACACTCGGTCGCTACAACTTGGCATGTGGAAGCTATAGGTAGGAAATATGAAGAAGGATACCTCTATGGATCATTCTTGCTAATCTTTGCAGATTCTGAGGCAATCTTCTTTGGAATTGTTTCATTCTTCTTCAACTACGTCCCAGAAGTGGGCACAATCATTGCGATCATGATTCCCATGCCCATCATACTTCTTGATGGCCGACTTCCATCGCCTGCCATGACGTAGCTGGGCGAACACACTGAGAAACTAGAGCACGGTGTCTCCTTTTTCGAGAAAGTGGGAAAATGTGAGATGAAACCCAGCCCATTCGAGGTTGTTGAAGGCAACTGTGGGACAGCTCGTGAGTGGCTCAGCATCTTCACGTTCTCTTGCCTCACCCGCTTCGCAGCGTTTTACACCGACGGACTGTCCAAAGAGAGGCCATGAAGATTGTCTTCAACAACATCATTGAGACATCTCTCATCCAGTCAGATGCAGAGATGAAGGTCCATCCTGCCCGGAGACCCGACCGAAAAAATCAAAACGGATCAAAACGGACTGTCGCAGCGAGTACGCATACCGAGCAAATCTTCACACACTTTCCAAGCAGCTGAAAGCTAGCTTTCGCAGGAGTAAAGCAAGAAATACAACACCACAAATACACCGTTCCACAGCATATGTGAGCTTCACTTGCATATTCTTATTTTGGAAACGGCGCAGCTGGCAGCTTCAGCCGTGTCTTTTAGCTTGTTTTATGTTTTTGGACGAAGAAAACGAGGTCTGGGTCCTGCTGGCCATCAATTACTTTGGCTTCATTTGGGGCCCCGTGGGCATGATCATCAGCGTGCCCATCTTGTCGGTTCTGATGCTTGACTATTGCGTGTTTTTCAGGGTAAGAAGTGGACGGGAACGGTTCACTGAGGGGTTATTGCGGCTAAGCCGAAGGCTGAAGGTGGAACCCAATGGTTGACACCTGCATCTTGTTGCCAAGGAAAGGTGCGGCGGTCTCAGCGATTGAGCTTGATGCAGACAAGGACGATGTCACCAAGGCCAGGATTTCTAGATGTCAGACACTTAATCAATTTCAATTTCTTCTGAAAAAGGGGTAGATTGGTCAACACTTGTGAAGATGCTGATGATGCGTCAGAACAAACAACAACCAACAGGCTGTGGTCTCCTGCAGAAGGTAGGCTGTGTTTGGTTTAAACTTGTAGATTGCCCACCGAAAACCCTAGTCGACAGACCATGACCTCGCACTCTTTGCCAAGTTTAGTATAGTTGCTTTGAATTCGAATGGATACTTCGCAAAGACTGGTGTAGGTTGCCCACCCGCAGCCCATTCACATAATTGAAATGCAAATGATGCAAGTTAAGACAACTGTAGGCTGTCAACCTACAGCCAACAGGCTTGATGCATCCTAATGTGTTCTTTGTAGTTTTTCTTTTGTATAATGTGTGTGTATATATATATATGCATTTTTGTACATGTGTACGCGCTTGCTTGTTTTCTTTCTTGGTTGGTTTGGTTTGGTTTGGTCGTGTGTTGTTTTGTTTGGTTTGGTTTTGGTTGGTTGCATATGGTTGCTTGGTTGGTTGTTGATGTTCTTTTCCATCTGGGAGGACGCTTGACAAGCACCTCAAACAACTGACCTTATGATTTCTCTTGCATCCCCTTCAATTGAAACCAACTCTGCTCCTGGTAGCACATCATGCCGTTTCTTCATAGATGCAGATGCGATGCAGCCAGGCGTGGGCAGAATCCTTCTTGGCCTGCCTCGAAGGTCGACCTCAAAAAGCTAGAAGCTTTCTTAGCAACCATCGAGGGTCAACAAAGACTCATTCACCAAGTCACGGACGCGTCGCTATGGTTTACATCGATGGTTTGGGATGCGACACATCGCAGAGAGTATCGCAGAGATTTCAAAGTTTGAGTTGGATTTTGGGACCTTCTCAGGAGAGAAATTTGAACAAGCAATTGGATCCTTCAGCCTTCCGCAAAGCATGGAAGAGGCCATTGGTTTGTACATCAATTGAACTTGTGTTTGTGTTTCCGTTTTTTTGATTTATTGTGCTGCTAGCACATGTGGCAACAATCTTGTGCTCTTGTGCAATCGGTACTAGAAGCTGACAGAAGCTGACAGTAGGCCAAGGGTAGACACATGAATAGACAGCCGCCTGAAGAGGAATATAGAAATAGAAATAGACCAAATCTGGCAGTCACCTTGGCAGCCTGGGTCTTGGGATCCACCGTTTGCTTCATGTTGCTTGCTATTTGTCAGGAAAAGCTGCGAAACTTTGGTGAATCCGCCAGTGCAGCATAGAAAAGCAGATTTAAAAAAACCAAGGAGCGCATGCGATGCATTATAATGTATCAGAATCATGCAGCTACAGTGCATTTACAAGCTCCATTGATACATTGGCACGAGCGTGTCAGTGTAGAGCGTGGATCAAAGTTTAGATGCAAAAGGAAGGCAGGCAACTCACCTATTTGCTTACACCTATTGACATTCTGCATTCAACCTGCCAGAAGTACACGCTGTGGTTCGAGTGGCCGGTCTTTGCAGTTCACCAAGGCTCGCTTTTGTTCCATGACAGAAGAAGAGCGGCCGGAATCGCAGGGCAGGCATGGCCACCGCTCGGGTTACGCCTAGATGAGCGACAAGGATCGTGAGCGTGAGGATTTCTATACTGGTGCTACAGGGGTGGTGAAAATTCCCTCATTCCCTACACTCACCGACTGAGCCGACACTCTGAGCAAGTCTGAAACGCAGAAAAACCGAGTCCGCATGGAAACCACATCCTCGGGAGATCCTCGGGGGGCATATATATGTTATTTTTTGGGGGGAATATCTGACTTTTACCTGCCGCCTCCTGCCGCAACCTCCTGTAACCGAGCTGCAGGTGTGGACCTGCTGCAGTGCATCGAGTTCGAAAGCTCGTGTCAGGGGGAATGGATGTTTGGGAGCCGAGGGGAGAGCGCTGATCCGGAGCCGAGCAGAGAGAAGACAGCGCAGCGCGCGATTCGAGCGCTGATCCGATGGCACGGACTGATTTGTAGGGACTGTAGATGATGATCCATAGGGACTGTTGCACCATGTCACTTGACGCACCATGTAGACTCTTGATGAATAAATCCCCAGGATTGAAACACCTATGCAACACTTGGAAATTGACTGTGCAAAAATAGAAGTTGTGCTCAGGATATACATAGAAATATGGAACGCAGATGACGGCACATGTTTTCTGGCAGATGATGAGGCAAAGCTTCATCAAAGACGTTCCTTGTGGAGGCCTTAGTCCTCATGGTCCATCAGTCGCGGAAGCCTCCGCCATTTTCAGATCATCCTGAGGCTTGCCCAAGCCAAGACTGAAGGAGATCCAGAGTTCCAGGCCAACAGATCTCATATATATATATATTTATATGTCTAACATGGTTCAAGAAGACTTGAGCGTCGGCAGCAAGGGTGCATCTGAGTTTGCTTCTCCTAACATGTTAGGCCAAAGCTGTTGTTTGGGTCAGCAGTCTTTTGATTTCAATTGGGACTTCAAAGCGAGTCTCAGTGAGTTTGATTTTGGCAGGTGACTGGTGAAGATGCTTTCCGTAGTGAAAGGGAAATGCTTTTGGTCTGGTACTTGGGAGATCTTGGGAGGTTTGTTGGCGTTAGACCAAGTGCTGTGATTTCGTCCATGCTTTGTCGTCTATTGAGATCTGACAAGTGAGGCCGCAGTAGCTGGCTTGCGAGAAGCTGCAGAGGAGAGTCGTGTTTTTTGTTTTATATTCTAGGTGATGTGAACTCACAAGATGAAGATGACGTTCGAAGGCGTCTTTCTTTACCGTAAACCTTGATTAGCCGAGCCCCTCCAACCAAGGCCGCCATGCGCCGTGCTGAGGCTGCAGAGGTCCTTATTGGGGGATCCAAAAAGGATCAATTGTTGGCTACCAAAAAGGATCAAACGATGAAGTAGGCGATTTGGTGGTAACAATGAGGTGACCTTGTTGTTTGTCATGTCTTCTAAATCAATTTCCTCATGACGTCTTCTTCAGGCTGCTTGCTTCGCGCCAGTGAAGCAGGTGATCGAGGCACGCAGACGCGACCCCCCTCCACCTCATTGGGCCCATACGGACGTAGCGCCACTCGCGCCTTGGACCGCCGTCGGGTCGTTGAAAACGTCGTGCCACAACTGACGGGTCGTCGCGCGACGACCAGTCGTCGACATCACTGGACTCATCTCGAATCGATCCGCATCGCTGCTGTTGTTCTATTCATACCTCTTCATACCCACTGAGCTACTGGCAATGCTGGCAATGGCCTCCACCCTAAGAGCGATGGCCTCCTCCACCCAATAGCAGTTGTTCCATCATGTTCCTACCGGACCTGACCTGACCTTCCGCCATTTCGCCCGAATTCCGCATGACAAGGCCCACTTGAAGGAGTACAAGGAACACATGGCCTCCGAGTTTCGACATGCGCTCCAACGGGAGGTCTCGGAGGACGGATCGGGAGGTCTCGGAGGGGGGGGCGCAGGGGGGACCGCTTCTGAAACCACATCGATCTGGTCAAGAAGTAGCTTCTTGCTACTAGTAATGACCTCCAACCTAGTATATAGCTTCTTGCCACTAGTTCTTCTCAGCTGAAGCAAGATTGATGTATACTGAGGTTAACATGAACTGCCATGAAACTGTCCTCAGAAGCTCATGAACTCAGGCCCCGTCTGGGCACACCCAGTCACCTTGGAACCCTGGGAGCCAACCTCATTCTAGCCTCATTCAGCATGCTCTCAACAAACACTCCCACAGACCCGTGACTCACCGCCGCCCCGGGAGCTCCGGTCGAGGCGACCGCGGAGCTGCGCGCCACGGCTCGGGAGCTCCGGCTGCTGTGCCGCTGGGCGAAGAGACCGGCGATGGAATCAGACGGACCCATGTGGGGTTTTGATGAGCAAAACAAGATAAAAGTAGACTCTTGATCAATAAAACCACCCCTTTGAAGAGGATCTTCAATTCAATTGGAGGGGTGTATTGATTATTAAAATATATTAAAATCAAGAGTACATTATTCAAAGTATCCAAACCTTCCTCCTTCCAAACATGAAGGCGTGGACAATGAAGGTTTCCGCATGTGTTGAGAACAACTTTGAAGGAGGTGGGTTGGTTGGTCGGATATCCTTCCATATGAGGATCACGCGGCACTGAAGTACTCACCCTTAATATAAACAAAAATCAAGGAATATCAGCATGAAGGAAACGTTCACTCAATAGCTGTTGAATATGTACCTGGCAGTGTCAATGCTTCACACTCTGTGTCCCACAGCCCTGCCAAGGTTGCTCACCACTTGTGAGCACAGAGCGCAGGGAAGCAGCGGATGTGCTCGCTCTTTAGTTCCATCGCAACACACAAACCTTTGTACAGTAGAGAGAAAAGAACGATAGAAAAATAGATTTGACATTAAAAACAATGCCAATAAAAACAACAAACATCATAAAGGTCTAAGAATCAAGAATTGGACAGAGGAAGGACCTTTTGCCATGTGGGTCTTGGCCTCAGGGTCCCAGAGGACGGAAAGACTTCAGACTCGTCCGATTCGTCGTGGCCTTGGCTCGCGCGAGCGCCAGCGCCCAGGCCCGAAAGAGGCAGTTCTGCAAGACCCGAGCCGAAGGCGAGCGTTTCGATGTGGCATCCTCAATCGCTCCGGTACACGTGAATGGGAAGATGGCCACTGGCCACCCCAAAGGAAAACCCATGTTCCGAATACCATTGAAGACCAAACTTACCACAGGTGGTGTTCACTTCACTTCCATTGATTATTTCAAGGAGTGTATGCAAAAACTCTGGTATGTCCTTGGCATAGGCAGGCGATGTGGCGCAGCTGAGTCGATCCGATTCCTTGCATCAAACCTTGCCCAGTTGGGAACTCAACTGATCATGCAGTGCATCGAATCGGCATATGTTGTCGGTCGCGCGTCCTGAATAGTCGGCACCACCGACCTAAGCCAGCAATTTGGAACTCATGTGACACATGTAGGGGGTGTGTACATAACGCGACTTCGAGACGTAGGTACGGTACACTGCAGTGAGGCCAAGAGATAGAGGTGGGCAGTGAACAAAAGCCAACACACATACGTTGGGTTTGTTCCATTACCTGTAACAGTCGGTCAACAAGAACATCACAAGTTTTGAGATGTCGGCCTGCAACCCAATCATCACCATCACCATCACCATCACCATCACCATCATCATCATCATCATCATCATCATCATCATCCACTCTTACTGGTAATGGGATAGACCGATTCTGCCGAGAAAGGCGGCTCCTGAGGCCTGCGGTTGGCCAACGAGATTCACGAGGCCAATGAGATTCTGTTGTTTGTTGAAAGACCATTGCTATAATTGGAAAGATAGCCCTTTGGTTTGTTCAAGTTTTTTTTTGGGGGGTCTATACAAGCTCTTTGGTTGCTGCTTTGAGTGAGCCTTCACTGAGGGGCTTTGAATGTTGGAGTGACTGGGTGTCGTTCGAAAGCACTGATGGATGAAAGCACTGCGATGCATTTCGGCTCGAAAAACAGGCCCTTCGGTACCGAATCGAACGTAACCCCATGCTGTGTAGGTGCCGTTTAGATCCGTTTAGACATGGTTTAACCAGCTTTTCCATGCTTAGACATGGAGCACAGACCTAGAAAAAAGGCCACACCACACCAGTTGAGTTGGCAGCACACAAGTTGAGTTGCGTTGGCCATTCTGTTTTTCAAGTGAGATCTCTCCTATAGATTGTCTCCGCCATGCTTTTGCCTTTCTACGTCGGTCACTATTCAATAACTCCAGCTTTGCTGGAGCATTTCATCCCTGCATTTCGCAACATGAGTTATTCAGAGACGAACATCGACGAGGGAGTGCTCCTTCAAGTGAATTCGACCTTACAAAAGGCTGACAATCTTGTACTACACTTGGTCCAACCTGGACCCGGCAGCTGGCAGAATCTGTGCCTCGTGCCCCTCCTCATCGCTCTAAACTTGACCTGCGCCTTTGTGATGCAATGCGTGGCGCGTCACACGCGCATCGTGGCCACCGACCTGCGTGCGCTGAAGCGACCGAAGAGCGAGGACCGCTATTCGGCCTTCACGGCCTTGCTACGGGACCTCTCGGGGGTGCAAAGCGTGATTTTGATCTCCCACGGCTGGCTGGTGAACCCTGCCTATCGATGGATCTCACGAAGTCTGTGCTGTATCACGATTCTACATTGGTTTGCCAGAGAGTGGCTCTATGCCAACTTTCTTTCATCCCTTACGGCCAATCTCACCAACGCGGTGGTGGCTCTTCCAGGT